ATATCCGGGGTATCTGGAATGAGTTCCAGTAGATGTTTGTGATATGCGTGTGGTTTTGATGATTACGGGTGGATGTATCGTATCAGTCCATGAGCTGATGGTCAGGACATGACATAGAGGTAGCTCAGCAGGATGGCAGACAAAGTTACTTGTATGCAGTGGGCTAATTTGTTACCTTTTTTCATGTTATAAACATCTTGTTGCCGTGGCTCATGAGGTATGTATCATCGCACTCAAAGTTCGTCACTTCGCGGTATAGGGTATGCTTGACTCAACTGATGCGCAACACTCGGACATTGTATTGTAACAGTGATGATTGTTGTACATATGATAGGCTAAATGTAAGGTTGTTCGTGGTATTTCTGGTTTTCTGGGCTGACTTATATCGTAGTTGTGATGTTTTGTGAGTATGAATCATGTTCGCCAACAGCGCCAACTCTTGCCTCTGGTTACAAATGGAGGCTTGTACGAACCCAAAGCAAGATGATCGATTGATGAAACAAGTTTACCTCGCGCTGAAGCTGCCAACTATGACAACCCTATTGCTGCAAGTGTTTCACTGCGCCATATCTCGAGCTCACGAGGTAAATTAAAGAGAAAGAACTCAGCCAACATGTGGGAGTATTGTGTCTGAATCACGGCCAGTAATTAGTATAAAAGCTGTTGCTCTCACAGGTGAGGGAACTCAACCTGGAAAGAAAGAAAAAACAAAGCTCGGAGATACTGTCAGGGACAAGCTGAAAATCAACATCTTCAAGTTGCCGACCTCTTATGATAATGTGTATCCTGAAGTGCACCAAGTACGACTGTATATAATGCCAGCGAGCTATAAGTGGCACTGAGCAACTCCAGGAATGTCTTGAGTATAGCCTGGGTATCAAATGCGAGACCACTAATGAGTATTTCACCGAGTATGTCTCAGCCGATCAGTGCGAAGTGTGTGAGATGCGCAGGATCGAGGCCGAGGCGGCAGCTGCGGCAGAGGAGGAGGCAAAGAAGGCAAATGCGACTAAAGCAGCGATAGTAATGTGCGTGGGTTAAATCAACGGGTTTCCGCCATATACTGTGCAATGAAGTGACGAGTATCCTGGACTGTATACCTCTTGAAATGTGCTCTTCACTCCTCATATTTCCTAGATGCCATCTATATCTAAACTGTAACCGTGATAACGTGAACCCCCAACGCCATGCTACCTTAGTAGTCAGATTACACCTCAAGCCCACTGGGGAAGATAGTACTTGACATTTTCATACACCAAGAACGTCACCCATGTTGCGGGCATCACCCTAATAACGCCCGGTACCATACCACGATAGAACCCTCTGAGTCCATCCTCAGTCCATATTCTTACAACAACACCCCTGATACCCCGACCGAATCGCTCGTCGGCTTGGTAGTTCTGGAGTCTACTCCGGAGTACTTGGTACGGATATGTGACAGCACCAGCGACGAATTTGGACAGACTCGACAACCCAACTGTAGCCTCAGTGGTCATATGCTCCCTTTCGATGCCATGCTTCTCTCGACGCCGCGCGTGGTACCACTTCTTTGCGGGCTCGTATACTGCAAACTGCACAGCGCCGTGTGATACACCTATTAGGGAGATACCTAAGCCACGGTAGAAGCCCCGGATGCCCTCAGTCTGCAGTATGGACCGGGCGCCCGCCAACATAGAAGGATATGCACCATGAGAGCCTCGATCAGAGGATACCATGCGTACTTTGAGGACCCATATAGGGTTGGTCAACGTAGTCGTTGCTGCGCCTGCCAAAGCGCTAGCGATGAAGTAATCGCCTCCAGAGGGACGTCCTCCAAGCCGACCCTGCCACGTAGCGAGAGCGCGCTCGAAGCGTGACTTGAAAAAGAAGAAAGAGGCCCAACTAGAGGCATTTCCGACAAGATTAGGCGTGAGACCGCGGTAGAGAGAGGCGACAGGGTGAGGACTGGCTGTCAAGGCACGAAGAATGGACATGGTTGTTGGACGCACAGCATCGGGGGCTGCGCTACGATAGACTAAATTACATTGTCAGACACTGAGATTGTGCGATAGAGGGGTAAAATTCAATCAGCCATACTCTGCATGCGAGTCTTGACGACATCGAGAGGATGAACAGTCAAAGTTGCGACTGTACCAGCACTGAGACCAGCGATGGACTCGATGGTCGCGGGAGAGAGTCCCGCATGGTCTGAATCGGGCATAAAGGAAGATTAGATAATTCTATAAGCCGGATATCATGTTTCACGAGGGTAAAGAGAATAGAAGAGCGCCATGAGGTACCTAGAGTGGTTGTTGAAAAAAGTTCAAGGGCGCTGAAAGAATGATTTCGATATAATATTTCTGCGGATCTCAAAGCTACGGAAGCTCGGCCGAGGCTTCGACGTCACCAGAACAATTATTGCGTCTTCTGCCGCATTAAACCGAAACTCACACAATCAAATATCATGGAACGGGTATTTTTGTGACAAGATTTAATTATGAGTGGTATACCCTTATTCTGGGCGTCATAGCGTTGCAAGATGATACATGGTGATTTTTCACACTCATTCGTACAGTCGACCCCTCCTCCCAAGCATATCTGCGGTCGTCGTCAAATTCTACCACGCCGTGTCCTAACGCCATGAATGCTGGTGGTAGTTGTCCCTTTCTCCCTTGAAAAACATCTCCACATGATAATGTACACTGTTATGTTTTGTATAGTCGTAACACTGCTCCCTGTTTAGGAGAGGGGAGAGAGAAGGCTAGATGAAGTCAATTAGCATTGCGTACGTATGCGGTTCGTAGGGATCAATGCATACCGGATGACTGAAGGTCGGGGCTCGCTTCGGGTGTAGCCTGAGATATATAATTAGTATTGTCGTTTCGATCGCACATCGCTATTCGAGCTTGTTCGTACCGAGATAGAGAATCAGAGGAAGATAGCCACTGTAGCACGAATCAGTTAACGCCCAGCTATAAAACCAAATGTTGATGACATACTAGTGGATGGCGACGCGCGAAACGTCAATGAGCTTGGCAATGCGCTCCTGTGCTAATCGTTAGCGAAGCTGTGATAGATAGATACATCTCCAAGCTATGTCATACCTTGGATTCCTCGGAAAGGGCAAACATCTTGATTGGATTCAAGGAAGTGTAGTTGAGGGACTTGAGAAAGTTACACAACAAAACGATGCGGCTCAACCGGATGTTTCAAGGCTCGAGACTGAGAATCTATAAACCGCAGTCGTTTCTGGCGTTGGCGTTGACGTTGACGTCTTCCCAAAAAATTCGGAGAGGTCCTGCCGGGAGCTGGAAATTCCACCTCCGAGTCGCCGACATGTGGGCGGAAGAACCTCGGTCGACGCCACACTTCCACCTGCACCTTGTGTGGCTTACGCGACAAGGCTACCTTATACATCCCAACCATCAGCCAAAATTTCTAGAAGCTCCATGTAAAGTTGATAACTTAAGGCAGTTGTTCACCTTATCATCACGGTAGCACAATTTCTGGTCAATTCTTCGCCCTCTTACCTTGTCAAGGTATTCGTACTGTTAGAGACCAAGGTCTCTTCAAAATCTGTCATCATGGCGCAAAATAGGCATTGGTACAGCTCTTTCATCTTATGGCAACGCGACAGCAAAGCTAACTATCTTCTCAGGGAACAAGACAAGGAGGCGACGGTCTACATCGGCAACATCGACGAGCGCGCAACATCCGCGATGGTATACGAGATCATGCTTCAGATGGGCCCCATCCACAACATCCACATGCCTCGCGATCGTGTTACCCAGACACATCAGGGCTTCGGCTTCGTCGAGTTTCGCACACCCACAGACGCTGAATATGCCGCCAATGTCATGAACGGCATCAAACTGTATGGAAAGAGCTTGCGCGTCAACAAGGCTAGCGCAGACAAGCAGCGTGCCGCCGAGGTTGGCGCCGAGCTATTCATCGGAAACCTCGATCCCATGGTTGACGAGAAGATCCTCTACGACACCTTCAGTCGCTTCGGTCCACTACTCAGTGCGCCAAAGGTCGCAAGGGAGGAGTCTGGCGCGAGCAAGGGCTTTGGTTTTATCAGTTTTGCCGACTTTGAGAGCAGCGATGCTGCGATCGCGAACCTGCATGGACAGTACATCTTAAGTAAGGAGGTTTCGGTCCAGTATGCTTTCAAGAAGGACGGAAAGGGAGAGCGACACGGTGACGAGGCTGAACGTGAGCTTGCTGCTCAAGCAAAGAAACGGAACATCGTCCCAGAAGCACAGCCTGTGCCCCAGGCGTTTCTACAACCACCGCCTGTTGCAGCTGCGCCTCCAGCAGGTTTCGATCCTTCACTTATGGGAAGAATGCCCCCCGTCGGCGCACCTCCACAGGGTATCCCCGGTGGGTTTGCACCTCCCGGCCGAGGTCCGTCGCCATATAATGCTGGAGTTCCACCCCCCGGAGCTCCTCCAAGAGGCTCCGTTCCTTTACCACCAGCTCCCTCAGGGTTGCCTGCGCGGCCTCCACAATCACAGGCTGGATACACCAACCCAGCCGATTTCCACCCAGGCAGTTTCAGACCACCCTCCGGGTCTCCGGCGCAGGGCTTTCCAGTTGCTCCTCCGCCCGGATTCCCTGCTCCTCAAGGAGCCCCCGGTGCTGCTGGTGCTCCTCCCCCTGGGTTTATGCCCCCTCCAGGCTTCCAACCACCCCCTGGATTCCGTCGGTGATCTACTGTCTTGGCAAAAGTCACAATGCATCTGCTGAATGGAGGTGCTTCTAATAAGCTCAGGACTCAATCGAGTTCAGAATGCCGTTATCACGGCCAAAAGCACGACTTTATGTCGCATCTAATTACCACTTTCTGCCCACAAACAGCTAAGACCAATGACATGTATGGTCAGGTATCGTACAGATCTCCACAACCCCCGAGTCTGATATACAATCATGAAATAATTTCTCTTCTTAAAACCTGCGGGAGAACTCCTTGCCATAAACGCCAGTCCTGTGAGCTCTACTTAACCAGGTTATGCTCTCATTCAGAAACTTCCTGCAAATGCATCTTGGGCTTCCCTCGTCGCCCTCGTCCATTCTTGCGCTGCTTCTTCTTCCTTGCCTTGTACTTCATAAGAGTGAGCAAGCATACCGTCTGCGACGCTCTGCCACAAGACATTGCCACTGCGATGAGCCTGCTTGGCTGCCGCTAGGGCACTTTTCAGGGCTTGATCGCCAACGACGTTCTCGAATAAGCGGCTGCGCATGATAGCAAGTGTGACGGCTGCGCCCAGTAAATTCTTAGTGGATTTGGAACCGGCCATCGCAGACTGTATGTGCTGCTTTTGTTGATTGAGCTGCTGAGGTGGTTCGGTGCTGATAGCTGCCATAACGTTATGCCAAGCAGTCCGTAGGTCGACATTGTGGTGGCTCAGGCACAACGGCCTTAGTTCTTCGATCAGATCAAGTGTAGCTCGATCGTCCCGGTGTGAAGGATGCTGCATAATCCAAAGCCTGTTCAAACCAGCTAGCATGGCTAACTCGCGATGTGCGGCTTTGACACCAGTTCCGCGCTGGTTTAGGTCAAAGTCAGGCTTTTGGAAAGTGTTCATAGCAGCATCCAGTTCTCCTGTGCCTTGGTCAAACACTCCCGATAGGTAGATAGCCAGCAAACGCAGGATGCCCTGTGTAGACGGAGTCATAATATCCTGAAGCTTCACGATGTACTGCTTTACCAGGTCCCATCGACATTGACTAGCTGCGTATAGGCCAAGTAAGATAGTAAGGTAGCAGTGAGCTTCCAGCCGCCACTCACGCTGCGCAATGGCATCTTGTAACGAGATGGACGGCCCATATCTATACCCGGCTGTCACTTTGTCCCCTAGTACATATCAGTAAAATATCTGGGCGATAAGCAATGCAACTCACAAGTATCCAGGACGTGCGCGCCTTCTTTTAAGAAATCGACTGTCTGTCGACTTTGTCGACCTTGGGGACCATTTGTGCTGGGCTTGTGCATATTCACGAGGCCTGTCAAAGTGAGCCTGACGACATGTTAGCGAGTTTGGTAAAATGTGTGAAGGGTGGTGGTAACTCACACAAGGGAATTCAACTCGACTTTGGTCATGAATGACATGACTAGAAAATCTTGTTGAACACCCTCACCGCTTCGAATGATGCCCGCTGTGTCACTACTAATAGTATGACCAGTAGAAGGTTGCTTCTTGACCGGAATGAGAAAGTCGGACTTGGTGTTATGCCAGTCGGTGCAGGCATCCATGCGATCTTGAAGCATTTTCAGCTTATCATGCATCAATTCCATGCCAGAGTGATTGATAGTGCAGACAAGATCCAGAAGTAGCGTCAGGATATCGAGTTGCATGATATGAATAGATGGTTCACACTGATACTTCGCTACTTGAGCAATACAAGCCTGGACTTTTTCAAAGTTGCCATCTTTGGAAGCCTTGAGAAGTGCCAGACCTTCAAGAATGAAGGCAAACACACTCAGGGCATCGTCGCCGCGAGAACTAGCTGTAACTTGAATAGAGCGAATGTTCTCCAGTGCACTGGCGTCAGCTGTTTGACCAAGCTCCATGTAAAATGAAGCCTTCAATAGTCTGAAAGCATAAACCCATTGGATGTGTTTGTAGCTGTGAAACAAGTCAATAGATGCCGGACTCGAGTTGCTACGGAACTTACGTTTCACAGTCAGCGATTTGACGATCAGCCGCATTCAAAGCTGCTTTGTGATTTCGCTGGAACAGGAGCTTCAACCTGATATAATCCATGCAATATTTGAGATCGGCCAGGCCATTCTACCAAAGTCAATCAGCTATGCAGTACGAGGGTAAGTCTACCGTCGCTTACCTTTCCGCAAAGAGAGATGCCTTTTGTGACGGCCGTCTCAGCTTCCATAGGGTTCTCTGTCTCTTCTAATACTACTGTGGCGTATCTCAACCGCATCTTTGCTTCTTGGCGCGGAGACAGTCTATTACTTTGCAAACACGCCTCTAGACACGCCAGGCCTGTCGAGATCAATTTCTGATACTCGTCTATCCGCGTGGCATTCAGTGACATCGCAACATCATGTACAGAACCACGGGCCTTATCGAAGCACTCTTCGGCCACTGCCACCATGAGATGAACAGTGTCAAGGGGCCTACTTTTTGGCGTGCTTGCGGGTGATTTCTTGGTAATACTCGGAGAGCGAGCATTGATCGCTGGTGAGTTGACCACGGATGAGAGAGGGCTCGGTTTTGCCCGGGGAGTGGCGATTTGAGGTTGTGTCTGCGCGTGTTGGTGATGAGATGCCTGCACTTTTGGCTGAGGAGGCGGAAGAGGCTGAGTTTGTGGGCTGCTCAGCATAATGTCCATAGGCTTGACAGTGCCTGATTCGTACTGCGCGTCCCAGTTCGCTGTCTTCCCCGTGTGAGATGTAGGAACGCCTTGTGTCTGATCCATGGTTACTGATGGAAGCGATGGCATTTTTTGGATGTCTTGCAGATTCACATAGACCATCTGCTCCGGTTCTTGCTGCGCAACTGGCTGTTGCTGAGTTGGTTCCGGGACAGGCTGTGCAACTATCTCCGATGCGGGCTCATCTACATCTATTATTATAGCTTCCTGCGCAGGTTGTCGATTTGTCTGTTGCTGGTGTTTGGACGGGTCCTGGCGTGGCTGCTGGTTCTGTTTTACTTGTCGAGCCTGTGGCTGAGCCGGCGAGGCTACCTGCTTTGGTGCAGGTTGCGGTGATGGCTGAGGAGCCGTCACCTGAGGTTGCTGCTGATAGTGCGCGTGCTGCTGTTGCTGCTGGTATTGTTGCTGTGGCGTATGCTGCTGCGAATACTGCTGGTGTTGAGACCGTTGTTGCGGCGTCTGGGGGAGTGAATATCCTTGATTTTGGGGTATCGAAGAAGGTATTTGCTGCGGTGAAGGGACGTGGCTAGACTGCCTTCTCGGTTGAACGTGTTGTTGAGGCGACGCGACGTGCTGCTGGTACATATGCTGCTGTTGCTGTTGCTGTTGCTGTTGCTGTTGCTGTTGATGATGATGCGGTTGCTGATATTGCTGCTGGTACAGCATGTTCTGCCCACCCGGAGATTGCTGCTGCTGCTGCCAAACATTCGCTGGAGGCGTATATTGCGCGGCAGCTGGTTGCATCTGGTGTCCCCCATACGCTTGTCCGGTTGTATCGTATCCCTGGAAAGTCGTTTGCATGCCCCCGAACTGCGCCATCTGCTGCTGCTGAAGGTACGTTTGTTGTTGCTGTTGCTGCTGCTGGCCTTGCTGTTGAGGCATCGAATAGAACTGCTGCTGTTGAGGGTTCGTATACTGCTGGTAACCACCAGGCATATAAGATGAAGGCGGATTCATGCCGGGCACTGGCAGCGGTTGCTGTGAGCCTTGTTGGCTCTGGCCCTGGCCCTGGCCATGGAAAGGCCTGTAGTTCATGGCCTCTCCTTAATCGCTGTATTCCTCTTTCTCGGTATCGATTTCAGCATTCGATCTGTCGTTTCGTCGCGGTGCGCAGACCAACGCGATTGCGCTTCATGGTCCGTCTTGGTCCGTGGGTGCGTTTGCCATTCACGGACGGGGTTCGTATCGACTCGCTTGTCAAACACAACAATCTATAGCGCAATCTATCGAGGATCGTTCGTCCTGCTCGTTATTATCTTGTTTGCTGTGTCTGCGGATTCGATCGTGCTAGGTCTAAACCATAAAACAATGGAAAGGCACGAGTGCGACGGGATCCTATCGTCGAGTCGCAGAGCAATGTGATTGGCCGAGACCGTATGGAAATTGCGGAACTACAAGTCAAACTAACGACTATTCGATGGAACCAACAAAACTTCCTCTGAGAGCTTAATCTTAGTGGAATTATTAGTTATTCTCTTCATTTTCACTTATCGTCAAAGGATATTAATGAAAGAATCATAAGTTAAGTTATTCATCATGTGCTGCGATCGTTGCTCGTGACATGCTATTATCTTACACCTTGTGATAACTTTCCGACATGTCTGCTACTTTTGAACAAACCCCAATGCAATAATAGATCATCCCTACCAAAACAGAAGAAAATCCAAGGCCCATGCGCACTTCTATAACCATACCGCTGTGCGCCAGGGCATGCAAGATCCTCCTCCTTGGGTATTAGAAGACGAAACAACCAAATATCAGAGGAAACTCCAACGAAGTCTGCCCACAGCTAATCCTCCGTTACACATGTAATGATCAACCCATGCAAACCCATTCAGCAAAGACACACCATCGAGCCGTGCGATCTGCGAGTACAAGGCCTCGCCATACGCCCTTCTCTGAACATTTGATTATTGTCTCCCAGGTTCCACCATCACTAGCAGTTTCGCTACCTGAGAGACTTCGGCCTCCAACGTGAATACCCTTACGATCCTCCTTCCTCATAAGACGGAGGATCTTGCCCCCTGGAGTCTGGATCGCCAACTTGGCAGGCTTCTTCCCAGCCACAGTGCCCGTAGCAGAGCTTGGGGTCGAGCCGCTAACACTAGACGCATTCATGCTCAACGCTGAACTGGGGCGGGCGAACGGTATGGGGCTGGTGCCGCCTGGATTAGATGACGGTGTAAGTGCCGATCCACCCAGCGAACTTGGGTGCTGTCTGATGGCAAAGACAAAAGTATTGTTAAGTGCAAGCCTTTGGCACTGCGGCTGAACCACATAGATATCATGCCGCTGTGCGTGAGGAGTGGGATGCCTTGTGACAAACTCATAAGGTGGGTTTTCACCTGTGTGGACGATAGGCAATGCAAAGGCGAGGGGATGTGGAATATCCTTGATGCTGTGCATAAGGCCTCGCTTGCCAGCATAGATCTTCAAGGTACCCTGTCCTTCATCTCCAGGCAGTAGTGCTTTGACAGTGTATCGTTTGATGCCATTGAACCATTCAGCTTGCGCAAGTGCCCTCTTCTTGACAATTTCGCCGCTTTCAAACACATCTCCATCTGAATCTCTCGAATAACCTCGAACTTCGACCTCGGCGGCAATCTCCACGTCACATGGAACACTAAATTTGATATGAACCATTTCCAGATCTTCGATTCGAGTTAATGCAGTATTGTAGTCCACCATCTCGAAACCATTGCGGAAGAAGGGCGCACAAGCGCATGGCAGATTGAGCAGTGTTTCGTGTGCCACAGGTGGTACGATGTGCTGCTGACTGTGATGCTCTGGGATATGTGTCCAGCAAATCTCCAGTGGCCTGGTCAAGAACCACCACGGATCGGCTGTGTTATTGGCATTGGAGTATAAACCTCGCCGAGGATACGAGGGGCTGGCAAGACAGCAGTCAATCATGCGCCACTCATTGTCAACGACAACGGCATTCCACCAATGGTTGGGTCGGGGCATGATGTTGATTTCGGAAACTTCCCCTGGAGACTTGAGGTAGCCTCGAACGATCTCACAGTGGATACCGATAGCAGAACACATCTCCATCACTAGGACAGCATACTCCTCAGCGCACGCTCTTTTCGCCTGGATCACCCGTGTTGTGTCGATTTCACCCTCAAAGTCCTCTTCCCAGCAGATCTTCTCGGAGACCCACGTAAAGATAGCTCGCAGCCGCTGGACCTCGCTCCTGTAGGGTCGGCATACGTATGTAGTGGCAAGTTGGATAGCTGTTATGGCAGGAGGAAGACCGCTGATGAACCGGGAGTTCTTATCGACTTGAGACAAGTTGATCGCTTGGTAGTTTGTGGGTTCCTGGACTGGCTCTCCGTCAGCCCCCTCATCTCCTTCAACGCCCTCATAGAGCTCGTCGACAGGGTTAAGGGCAGGGTGATCCATCATCTGACATCGCTCGCGGCGCTCAGTCAACTCTATTGTACTGAGCGAATTGGAACGATTCACATCACGTCGGACCTGAACCCAATCAACACCGCCACTCAAGCCCATTTCTGTCGCAACGTCTCTGTTGATAGGCGTGCTACCCATACCTGGCATAGGCGAAGCTCCAGCTGGCATTGAACGAGCAAAGGGTGATTTTGGCGAGTCCATGCCAAGACCACCAGCAACAAGACCGCCACGGCTGCTCGCAACACCTGTTTTAGCAGTATCAAATATCTTGCGGAAGATGTTCCTCTTGGGCGGTTTCGGTTGCACTAAGCCTCCCAATTCCAGAGAAGGATCATCGTGGAAGCCGACTTGGGTCTGGGGACGCTGTTGCGCTGGAGAGTCACTTGCATGGCTGCTGTGATAGGTGACTCCTGTGAAAGGAGAGTCCGGTCTATCAATCTCCAAGTCTCGTGCTCCCAAAGCGCTTTGTGCACGTTGACGCTTGCCTGAGCGCGCGAGGCTTCCCGCACTAGTAGTACTGAAAGCGCCGGCTGATGTCCCGCTCCACAAGGTCCTTGAAGTGCTCTGTGTTGAAGAGCTGGTGTTGCTCTGATTGCCCGATGATGAATTGGTCGAGTTGGTTTTTGTTGTTAATGTGCGGGCAACTCCTCTTCCGATCTCATATGCCGACTTGCGAGCTCTCAGCTTTCGTTCAGGCTCAATGGACCGGCCCATGGACGATTTTGGCCGCTCGTATGGCACATTCTTAGGGGGCGGAGGAGGTGGCTGGTCGTCATCAGGCTCGCTAGTCCTTGAATTCTGACGATGCATTTGCTGAAAACGCTTTTCCATGCGATCAACATAACTGCTAAGCTTGTCTTCTCTGCCTCTACTCTGATAAGACACCTCTTGAGACGATTCACCGCTATATGTTTCATACCCCTCATCTTGCGCGATTCCCATCGAGGTTTTAGGCCTGCTCCGCTCCTGGTCCCTTCTAGTTGAACGATGAGACAGCATATCAAAGGATTCCGGAGACCAAGGATCGGCAGGTGGCTCAGGTGAAGGAGCTTGGCCAGGTCTTCCAAGGCCACCGCCTAGTACGTCCAATTGCTCCATGACCCCATCCATGGCCTCTCTCAATGGAGAAGGGGTCATACCTCCGGCGGGTGATGGCGGAACGGGGGAGTTCCTGCCAGGGGTATATGGCATATATGACCTATCATCGAAAGATCCTCGAGAGCCATGTCTAATTGTTGGTTGTGGTGGCTGTGGCGGCCGGTAGGAATTATTTGAATTTTGCCTCGAGGGTGAGAAGGGTTGGAAAGAGGCATTGGATCCATGACGAGAGATATCAATAGATCTCCTATGCAGGTCGTTGGATCCTCCTCTCGTCATTTGCCGGTGAGGAGGTGGTGGTGGGGGAGGCGGTGAGTTACCTCTATCCTGTCCTCCTCGATAAGGGACTATTTGACGATGGAAAGATGGCGCAGGAGATGGACCTCTTGAAGAATAGCCATAGCTTTGGTGCATCGGAGGAGCAGGAGAAGGCCCCCTTGCATCGTAAGCATGAGGAGGAGCTGGCGATGAAGCTCTTGAATGGTGGTAACTTTGCATGGGCGCAGGTGAAGGAGCCCTCGAGTGGTAATTGTGCATGGGAGCTGGAGATGGAGCCCGTGAGCCATAGTGGTGAGAAGGCGCCGGTGAAGGTGCTGGCGAAGGAGCCCGGAAATCGTGCGCTTGAGGTGGTGCAGGTGAAGGTCCTCGTTGGTTATATGACTGAGGAGGTGCAGGCGATGGGCCTCGTTCCGTTTCATGAGTACTAGGAGCGAATGAAGCGCCAGAGTTTTGTCGTTCCTTGGGTTTCGGGGTCTCTTTGAAGATCTCGGGTTGTTTCGCACTGGTGTAGTGAGGAGCCTTGGCGTATGCTTCGAATGGCTTTCGAAACGTCCTGGATTTTGTCGGTGCAGTACTTGGCGGTGCGTTTGGTACAGGAGCCGGAACAGATTTGGTTGTTGGACGGAATTGAGAAGGGAGAAGCTCGACAAAGTTGGAAGGGAATGATCCCACGGTCCGTCGATCTCGGTATAGTCTGCCTACCCACCACGAACCATCACCAGCATTCAAACATTCTATCAGATCTCCCTCGATGAATCCCAGATCTCGTTTCGACTGTTTTCAAGTTAGCTTAATTTGAGACTTTAGAATAATGGTAACAAACCTCTCCTCCCCAGGAGTATACAGCTCTACACCAACATGGGAACCTTGTGGGCAGAGGTGGTGCAGCGGGTGCCATATTGGTGCGAATGATTTCCAGCAGAGACTAAACAAGGCCCAAAGTAGGTATTTTGGACTCGAACAATTCGAGACGGGGCGTAATGAGGATTTATCGGACTCTAGATACAGGCATATCAAACACGATTTTGTCGGACAGGGCTTAACGACCAAAAACACGATATGCGAGGGCCCAAAACGAACAAGTCTCAGGATGGCGGATACGGTTGTGCAAAGGTAATGAATGAGGAATAAGAAATAAATTACCACAGATCGTGGGATATACAACAAGGCAATACAGAGGCCTCGAGAGTAAGGCTCTTGTAAAACTAAAAGAGCGCAAGAAGCGTGTTGAAAAGAAACGACGGTTTGAAGCTACGCCTGTCAAAAAAGCGGTAGGACAGCCGCGGTGCTCGAGCGTCTGGCGTCACAGCTGAGAGAGGTCGAGGTTGCCAGGGCAACCCGAGATCGGCGGGGGTTGGCGGTTCAGTTGTCCCACGGTAGCTTTGGCCATTTGCATGCAAGGGGAGCCTTGGACTCAACTGAGACAACAGAAACAATGTTGGATTGAGAAAATCGACCTGCCTAGGCGAGTCACAAAGAAGTTAGCATGCCAGAGGGAGAAAATCATCAGATAGTCAGAAAACTTTTCTTCGGAATCTTCACTTCTTTCTTGACAAAGGCTGGATCTTGGCTTTGTGGTTTTCTTCTTAAAGTTCTTTTCATGTTACATACATGTTCACTACTAGGGAAGATAAGGCTGATCTGTGATACCCACCTGGTACACACGGAGCTCATGCATATTTCTTCTCGATCGTATTTTCATCTGAACATTATCGTCAGTCGGAAAAATAGGCAATGTGCAGCTGTCGTGTCACTCTTCAGTCAATGGTTCAAGCTGCCCTACATGAGGGTGGCCTCATTTTTCGCAAAGGTAGGCAGTATTTAGATCCAGGTACCAAGGCAAACATTTAGAGGGTGGTCCATTTCTACCCTGCGGTCTAGATGCTAAAGTCAACGACTCAACGTTGCTAGGGGTCGTAAACGTGCATTGGCCATCCTCCAAACTTGGAGCTGGGTGTCAGGCTTTGGGTGCCCGCATTTCCCCATCTAACTTACTAACTGGGGCCCTGTTCTGTCTGGTTGCAGTGTTGCATATCATGAAGATCCTGGGAGCTTATAACAAACAAGACTATGATGAGAGACGGGGATATAGCATGAAGATAGGGAATCCCCCATCAAGCTAACACACTTTTTCGCTCATGTCATGATAATTTGCATTTGACATTTAGATATTGCCCATCTTACGGAATCCCATCACCCCAGATACGGAGCTCTCCATACATATGGAGCAATCAATGGATATAAGAAGAATTCATAAATGGATGCGACAGTTGTTCTAATTGATAATGGATTCTACTCTCGTGACCATGTCTCTCTACCCCATACTTCTTCTGAGACCATTTTCCTCATCCAGAATTCATTGACATCAGCAGTCTCAGTCGTTAAGAGCAACATGCACTAAAATGCCTACTACTCTCGTGTCCAAAGTTCCAGAGTCTCTTGTGCTTGTGCCTGGAGACAGATGAGCCGTTGTGTTGCAACCTCCACAACCGGTACCTTACCTTAGTGCGTTGGAGAGTGTGCAAGAAAACAATAGACATGATAGAAGCAGCCATAAACAAGTGAACATCTGTCATATCCAGTAAAGTGATGAACAGGCCCGCGAATTTATGTCATGTAACAGTTTTCTGTCGTAACAAAGAACCCAGCCATAGAAACAAGCAATCTGGGTGGGCGCTAAGCATTGTGCCAGGGAAGCCCGAAGCCGTACAGGGCATGACAAGCTAAAAGCGACCGGGGGATGGGATAGCTCCCCACCGAGTGTGGCACGGCCTGCAACGTACCTCAGTGAGAAGTCATGAGAGACAGAGCAGCTGGTATGTGACTCTCTGGCAGAGACTCCACGAACCTGCATTTGCTATATAAGCGCGGAAGGAATATTTTGAACCAGAAATTCACCGAGTCCAGTCTTTTAAATCTTTGATTTCAGAAGCTTTCGACAACATTTAATTCTCGATCTATTGCTTACACCAGTGTCGGACCGTCCACTCGATTAGCTGCCCCTCTAAGCTCCCGTCTCAAAGTAAACAAAGGGCCCAGGGGTTCCATCTGGCTATAGCTTTCGACAGGGTCCGCTTCCCAGACAACCATCCGCCAACCTTGACATCCATCCGCATGACTTTTAATAAACGACGACTCCAACTGATCGCACACGCTTTTGTATCTTGTTAATATTATTCGATTCACTCAGCACACGGTCTTTGCGCATTGCTTTAATCCCAGGTCTTAGCATCACCTTTGTTTATTCCGTTGTCTCCTCTGCCCGAGCAGCGTGAATCCAAACAACGTCGAGACAGTGCATGACGTCAACTCACAATGGCGGACGAAGGCGTTGCTGAGCATTATCAGGTCCTCGAAGAACTTGGCCGTAAGTATCAGGAATGGGGTATCTCTCCACATTAGCTGACGGTATCCTAGGTGGCAGTTTTGGCATTGTCTACAAAGGCATTGAGAAAGCAACTGGCGAAACGGTCGCTATCAAACATGTAAGTCCGAGTCCGATCATCTCAGTTGCCTGGTACACGAGCTAACACACAACGTCAACAGATCGACCTTGAATCCAACGACGATGATATCCAAGATATCCAAGCTGAAATCGCTGTTCTGAGCACTTGCGCCAGTTCTTACGTTACTCAGTACAAAGGCTCTTTTTTGCGAGGCCATAAGTTATGGATTGTCATGGAATATCTCGGCGGCGGATCCTGTTTGGACCTGGTATGTCTCTCCATAAAATACTCCGATACGAGGTCTCAACTGCTAACCGGGAATAGCTGAAACCCGCCAACTTCAGCGAAACGCACATTGCCATTGTTTGTCGCGAGCTGCTACTCGGCATCCAATACCTTCACAATGAAGGCAAGATTCACAGAGATATCAAGGCCGCCAATGTTCTCTTATCCGAGACCGGCAAAGTCAAGCTTGCCGACTTTGGAGTTGCAGCCCAATTGACCAACATCAAATCGCAGCGAAACACCTTTGTCGGAACACCTTTCTGGATGGCCCCGGAGGTGATTCAGCAAGATGGCTACAGCTTCAAGGCCGACATTTGGTCGCTAGGTATCACAGCTATGGAGATGGCCAACGGCGAGCCCCCCTTGTGTCACATCCACCCCATGAAGGTCCTCTTTCACATCCCAAAAAACCCGGCTCCTCGTCTTGAGGGCAACTTTAGCAAAGATTTCAAGGACTTCATTGCACAGTGCCTCACCAAGGACTATGACCGTCGGCCATCCGCAAAAGACCTACTACGCCACCGTTTCATCCGTAATGCGGGAAAGGTGGAGGCTCTGCAGGAACTTATTGCCCGTCGACAGATGTGGGACGCCAACCAAAACAGACAGAAGCATCCCATTTACTATCAAGAGACCCTTCAGACCATGACCCCTAAGGACGAGCAGCAGGAATGGGTCTTTGACACAGTAAAGTCTGTCGCACCACCTCCCAAGAGGCCGACGATCAAGCAGCACCGAAAGCCCTCATCTATCTGGAATGCCGAAGAGGCAATGAAGAAGCTGGATGTCAAGGATGGACCTCTTGGAGGAACTTCTCCCGCTCCGGGTACTGTCAGAAAGTCAACGGTCCGACGAGCCCCGTCTGTCGCTCAAGAAACATCAATGCGGCCTGGTTCTCCCCGTGGTTCCATCGCTCCTAAGAGACCTCTCCAACCAGACATGTCGTTTGGCAATTCTGGATCGACTATGCGTCTTTTCAGAAGAGTCCCTTCAGATGGTTCAAACGGGAGTCAAGGGAACCGACCAGTCTCCCCCGACGATGTCTTCTGTGACGAGAACCTTCCCCGTCCTACCACAACCCCCGTTGAACCGTATGGCAAAGAGGCTGTACTGGGGAGACGCTTGTACAACAAAGCTGTGGAGCCATCTCTGGCCGAGCTACACGCTCAAACTTCTGCGATGCAGAAGCGTGAAGCGCTGGCTAAGTTATCTGATGCTTTCGCAGCCTTGGACGCAGTTGATCCTGAGGGGGCCTATCACCTTGTGACGAGCATGGTATCATCAATTTCTCAAGATAACAAGCTCAGCGCTACGATACTCCGACAGCCTGCGCAGAAGATTCCTGGTGACGGCACCCCACAGGGTACTGTGATTGTCAAGAACACCACCCCTGCGTCGAGTCCTACTAAACTTGTCATGGCTTCAAACAATCCTCATTTGCGCAGCCATCGACGCCGTCATGCTGATACTCCCACAATGTACGAGAAGAACTTTGATCCTGAGAAGTTGGCCACTGAGAACAAATACCCTGGCCAAGAGGCCAGATCTGGCATGGAGCATTGCAAACAGTTATCCGACGTGCTCTACTCACGTTGGGTAGACGGTCTTCGAATCCGTTGGCCTGCTGTCTGATTATCAGCCGTGCTTGGCAGAAATGAATGATTTAACATGACGGCACTACGCCTTATATGTTGTACGATTCGTATGCAGTTTCTTTTGCTACTCATTTTGCATTGTTTGCCTTCCGGATGGAAGATAAAAGCGAGTCTTGGAGGAGCTTATTGGCAGTCGTATTTTCATCAGCATTTGACGACCCCGGTCTAGCATGACGCTCACGGTATAACGATATGTTGCGGATGATCTCATTGACCTGGTCTACTAGTTTGGTTTTCCTGTTTTCCTGCGAGGTGCGTGGGGCGTTGTAAGGATTGCATTTAAGATCATGGATGGTACGGAGGCAACTCTTGTTTTAATTTTTCATTGCATTGCAGCTGTTTCGATATTGGCAGGTAGACAATTAGATGCAGGCACAGCCCAGACTTGTTAATTGAGTACAGTAAGCATCTGAGTATAGTGCAGCCAAGAACTGTATCCAATAATCTAAGTGACCATGACGACCTTTCCTCAATGACTGTATCGTGCACACGCCAGCTGAACATTTATCAGG